GTTCGCCATGTTTTTGCCTTGCCGCTATCATGCCAAGGCACCGGAGTTGGCCGAAGTTTTTTACGCCAGTTGGATTCGAACCAAGGGTTACCCCAAGGAAATCGTTTGCGACCACGACACTCGGTTCATGTCCGGTTTTTGGTTGGCGCTCATCAAACGATGGGGCTCATCTCTCAATCCAAGTTCGGCTCGCCACCCCCAAACCGAAGTCCAAACGAAGAGGGCGCATCAGACCGAACAGGTTCTCCTTCGCACTCTCATCAGTCCCGACCAAAAGGATTGGGTTGACCGGCTGCTAGATGTCGAGTTGGCATACAACTCGTCCATCCACCCGGCTATCGGGATGTCGCCCTTTGAGTTCAAGCACGGCTCGCCGGTCACTTCTCTGTTGCACACAATCATTCCATGAACGGCCGTCAACGACGACCATCTTCTTTTCTTGCGTCGGATGCAAGAGCTACTTGTCAAGACACTCGACCAGATGGCTAAGACGCAGCAACGCATGAGCCAACAGGCCAATCGCCAGCTTCTTCCTTGCCCATTCCGCGTCGGCAATCTCGTTTGGGTTTCTGCTGCGAAGTTCAGCCTTCAACAAGATATCTCTCGCAAGCTCGTCCCGAAATGGATGGGGCCCTGGCCGATCGGGGCACCCGCTGGGGATGCACCCACAGGACCTCCCTTCACCATTCAGGTGCCCGCCCACTTGCCCGTCTACCCGGTCTTTCATTGCTACAAGTTGGCCCTTTACACGCCAACGGAACATGACGATTTTCCCGGGCGACGATCGCAAGACCCATCCTCTATGGACGGTTCTTAAGAGGTCGGCGACATCATCTCCCAGCGATGCTACGGCAACAGGCCAACCGAGTACTTGGTAGACTTTGCGTACTGCGCTCACAAAGTTGACCGTTGGTTGACCCGTGCGGAACTCCAAGCAACAGCTCCGGATGTTCTCACACGCTACGAACGCAAGATGCAAGGCAAGCCGGTATCTTCGGCTCCACGTTGCACCCGCGTCCAGGTTCCACCTTCAGATCGTCAGCTTCGCCCTCGACCCGGGTTGACTTCATTAGGAGTGGGGGGTGTAACATGCTGCGCCTGCAACTGGTTGCACGGGCCATTTTCCGGCCCACGTCGTTTTCAGCCCGAAAACCTGAAAACAAGGGCCGCCCTATGTCGTTTCAGCCTGAAAGCTTGAAAACAAGGGCCTACAGGCCCTGTATCGTTTCAGCCTAAAACAGGGCCTTTCCGGCCCTGAGTCTTTTCAGCCTGAAACGGAGGGCCATTTTCAGGCCCTCGTAAGATCGACCTGCCCTGAAACTCAGGCACAAGACCTGGGTTTTAGCACAGGCCATTTTGGGCTTGTTTTCAAGACAGCCCTTGGTTGAGCTTCAACACCAGGTCTGGCACGTTTCGGCATTGGCAAGAGCAGCCTCTTGGACGGGCCAGCACTACATAGGATTGGCCCGCCCTGCAGACTGGAGGTAGTTTATAGGGACTTCCCAGGCACTTCAGGTGCAGTTCAGGAGGCAGGAGGTAGTCGTCAGGATTCGGCAGCAGCACTCTGGAGGAGCGCTGCAGTAGTAGTAGTAGCGTTAGCAGTAGTCTTCAGCGTTGGGCGCTAGTAGGAGCTAGAGTAGTACTGGAGAGAGAGAGAGATTGGGCGGAGGCCAGGGAGACTTACCTGCAGCGCCATAGCTCCAGCTTAGTCTTCGAGGTACCTGCAGCACAGCGCCATCTTCACAGGTTAGTACCTGGCACATGAGAGAGAGAGAGAGTTCTTCTTCTTCCTCTTCTCAGTCCACCATCTCCCTCTCACCCTCTCGCTACCTGACTTCACTGCATCAGCAGACTACGAGAGAGTGGGATTGGTGACATTTGGATCCAGACTCCACATTGGGCTTCAGACATTTGGCGAGGGATTATCTGGGACTTGTACCGAAGACTTGGTGTTAACGACATTCCCATCTCCCCCCCTCTTCTTCGTCTGATCCCCTCCTCTTCGTATGTGGATGGTCTGGACCTGGCGCATTCTTCCTATGTGTAGCGCCAGCCTGAACGTTGTGCACAGCACAACAGGTTTGAGTCCTAACAGCCTGCTACTGACCTTCAAGCCTAGACTGCCCGTAGACTTCCTACTACCGGGAAACCAGTTGACTGCTGCACCAGGCACCTTAGAATTTGCCTATCGATATGAACGCCTGATGCAGCAAGGTGTAGAGCAAATGCACAGAGCACAGGCGGCAATGATAGAGTCTGAGAACAAGTATCGCCGCCCATCTACATTCCAGGTAGGCGACAGAGTCATGGTCAAAGCCTCTAAACTAGGACAAGAGCATTGGATCTCCCGCAAGCTCATGCCACAGTACTTTGGGCCATGGGAGGTTCTAGACATCGTTGGGGTTGATCCGGACGGGCCGTCATATGTAATCCGGATCCCTGGTCACCTTCGCACCTACCCTGTTTTTCACGCCTCCAAGCTCGCACCTTTTGGGGAAACTGATCAGTTTCCCTCTCATCGCTCAATGCTGCCCCCGACCATGGACAGAGAGGTCGACATCGACGACATCGTGGACCACAGAGAAATTCCAGTTCCAAGACCGACAGACAGGGGGAGTCCTCCTAAGCCGAAGCTTCAATATCGCATTCGGTTCAGACATCACACTGATCCTAAGGAGGACAGATGGTGAACCCAAAAGGAACTGGTGCAGACCACTCCACAGGCTGTCGCTAATTATGAGAAGTCACTGCAGAAAGGAAAGCGCCAGATTGAGTAATTTGAACTTCTCAGAGGACTCTCGCAGTATGGACGAGGGAATGCGACGCTCAAGGCCTCGACGAGCCCTACTGGCCCTGTTTTCAGCAATGCCGGCCGCCCTAAGTGAAGGCAGGCCCGACCCAGGACTAGTGGCCAATTTTGGCTTACCACACAACTGGGAAATTCAGGCAGTTGTGCAGCGCCGGTTGGTTGAGGAAACGCAGGCCCTGCCTTCCTTTCACAAATGTCTCTGAGGCAGGCCCTGGCTAGACACGGGGCATGGACTGCGCACAGGCCGCTGGCAGTTGGACACGGATAACCACCCCAGGCCCTGTGTCTGATTACCTTGGACCGGGGCTCAGCCACTTGGGCCCTACCGGAAGCTTCTGGGAAGGGGCCCAGCACTTGCTACATGCTGCGCAAGCGCTGCTGCGCTACAGGCAGGCAAGCGCCCAAGCGCTCATGGGCACACAAGGAAGGTGCAGGCAGCCATAGCCGAGCTGGTCTGCGAGGTGCATGGTGGTCCTTGGGTGCACGTGGCATCTGTGGGGGGGATCAAGGTTGTGAGTGATGTGAGAGACATATCTGGTGCTTAAGGTGAACGGCATTGGCCAAGATCTGCTCGTACTTCGGGGAGCTGTTGACATCACCAGCGGCATTGTAGATAGGCTAGATAGGATCTGCCATACGTAGTCTGGGCGCTGAGCGCCAGATAGGAAAGCAACATTGGTTCTTTGTTGATGATGATGAGGCTATCCAACATTGTCACTTGTGAGCTTTTGATGTGCTCTTATTTGGTGGAACTCAAGTTGCAATTCTGCTTTTGGTTTGAGGTCACAACTATCTCGTTTCATGTGTATGATGCTGCTTGTTTTCTGGAATTCGCTATCGCTCATTTTCCTTGCACTACCAAAAAGGGGGGGAAAAATAGTGGTGCATCTTCCCATGTTCTAGGGGGAGATTCATTTTCATTTTGCATATTGACGAGCGCTGGAGCCAAGGCCCAACGCATCCTCCCCCCCCAGTAAAGCCTTACACGTGCTGCCGACAAAGGCCCGGCCCCAAATGTGTGAAATAAGAATGAATGTTTTGCCCGAAAATGGAAAGATACGCTGCCACAATTTTTCATCTTTCAATTTCTGTTTCTGGTGCATTGGCCAAGTGGAGACCAAAAAGTTCGTAGTTTCTGTTCCCACCAGTTTAATATCTGATCCGTGGTCAATCCGGCGGGAAAAAAGAAAGTGACAGAAACTGCTTGGAATAGGAACATGCTGCTATGTACTTGTATTCGGACATGAGCGCTTCGCAGCCGGAAAAAAGAAAAACAGACTGGAACTGCAGTGCCCTGACGGTTTCTGTTGGGCCTCCTGGGGGGCATTACATGGGCCCGCTCCACGCTTTAGGAGTACAAGTCACAGGCACGACGCGGCGATGCCGCGGCAGGCGGGGGCGCTGGCATGTGTGTGAACATGGAAAAATACAGTGGTTCGATCGATAGGATGAGCAAAATCGGAATGAATCTTCCGTAGAACTTTTTTTTTTTGTGTGTGTGTGTCTCTGCTACTTTGATAGATAGGATGGAGCAAAATTGGGATGAATCTTCCACTAGAACATTGAAATATACACCGCGACTTTTTTTTTTTTTGTGTGTGTGTGTGCGTGTGTGTGGATGAGGGGAGGGGGGGGTTGCGTGAGAGAGAGAGAGAGAGAGAGAACAGGTAAGTCGTCAAACTTGTGTGTGTGTATGAGAGAGAGAGAGAGCAGGTAAGTCTCCAACCTCGCACCTGGCCTCACACGACTTCCATTGATAGGATGAGAAAATCGAATGGATCTTCCGCTAGAACATGGAAATATACAATGCCTGGTTGAATCTGGCCGACACCTGCCCGGTTGAATCTGCCCGACATCAGCAATAGACGGCAAAATGCAAAAAAACGCCTGCCAGACAAAGTACCATAAAAGCGGCCTGGCTCCTTCCCGACTCGAACCCGCGGCCGTGGTTACATTTTTTTCCCCACGAAACTCGACTGGAAACAGCCTCAACCCCGCAGCCGCCGGGCAAAACAACTTCCTGCGGCCAATTTCACGGGACACCTCCTGACAACGCGCAGGCCTCATTTTTGCTGGGCCCGAAGGGACCGTCTTATGAGGACCGCTTTTTCCTTTAGGTATTAGTAGATAGATAGATAGATAGATAGATAGATAGATAGATAATCAAATAATAATAAATAAATATACCCACCTCCTTGACATCCTGCCTGTCACTCTTTCCATTCCACCTAGGAGCCTTTGCACTACAAGGTGCTGCAGTCGTTCTTGGAGCACCCCACTTGTTGCTCTCTGTATTAGTCCCATGTGTCGTTTGAGTCCCATAGGTCCCATCGGTCCCACGGGTCACATGTTCATCCCCCTGTTCGTTCCTGGCTATGGCCTTCTGATTCTGTCGTTTCTCTTTCTGCACCTCCCGTTTTCTGCAAGCAACAGACCAAAAACAAACAAACGGATAGTATGGGAGTTTAGTGTGGTAGCTAGTTCCTGGTGGGGAAGGTCTACTAGCACTTTGTTCTGTTGATTGGTTGGAATTGTTGATTGGTCCATGGTTGGACCAGGGCCGTAAACGAAACTGGATAAAGAATAAAGATAGAGAGAAATGAAAAAAAGGAAGGAAGAGTCAGGGAAAAACAAACAAACAAACAAACAAATGACAATCAATCACGTTTTACAATCGTTGACAAACAAATATATCCACAGAAATAGGTTTCCCTGTAATGGGTGGTTTTTGTTTTTTTACCTCCTTGGACATGGATCAATCAAGCTCAGATCTTCGGAGCTCAACTGCATCCACAGAGAGAGAGAGAGAGAGAGAGAGAGAGAGAGAGAGAGAGAGAGAGAGATCAGAGAAGACGGGTTGGGTTAGAAGTTAGATAAGTTAGCTGAAGTAAAGAGGGTTCAGATCTCCTACCCAAAAATGTGAGGTGGTGCAAATGCATTGATTCATACTTCTTTTTATTGGTATTCCTTTTGGATGTGCATGCGGAAAAGGGATTGTGTTGATCTTCCCCGAAGTAGAAAGTAACTTAGGTAGGCAATTTCCTTCAGGAACATTTTGCCAGGCGGCTGTAGATTGGCCCAGCCATAATGGCAACAGGCATTAGTTTTTCTCTGTCAGCTTTTCTCTGTCAGTTTATCTCTGCCAATTTATCTCTGTCAGTTTATCTCTGCCAATTTATCTCTGTCAGTTTCTCTCTGTCCGTTCATCCCTGTCAGTTTATCTGTCAGTTTTTCTCTTTTGTGAGTCAGAGAGTGCGAGATAGTGAGAGAGTGAGAGAGTGAGAGATAACCAACGTGAGGTGAGGTTAGAGGCTATCCTCTCTTTTCTTTATTGTGGTCAGCTGATTGTATCTGGTCCCGAACTTGGGTCTGCATTTCAACAGTACCTGGGTGTACCAGCTGGTCTTCGTGTTTTTGTTTTTTTGCCCCAAATCAGGCCAGACAGAAGTACAAGAAACAAATTCATTACAATACCCTCAGAAGTACATGAAATTCCCCCCAAAAAAACAAAAAGTAGATAATAACAAACTGACCATGACACGTAAACGCAGAATAACTACTCAGGGAAATCTCAGAAAATAATAAAATACACCAAAAGTGCACAGGCAAACAGGGAGAAAATGCACCTGTTACGATCCTGGCCAATTTCGAAGTACAATTTATGAGAAAGCACAATGCCATCCAACTTGCAAAAGAAATGAATGAACTTGAGTGAAAGGGTTTCACCCAGTTCGCGCAATATTGCAGATACCAGGATGTGATCCCCAGACTTTCTCTAGCCCACTGTATAGTTGCCCGTTGACCCTGTGTGCTTTGAACCCGTGACCTGTCCCTAAAACCGTGTACAAATGTTTTGTGTGTGTAGCTTAGGTCGTGTGGAATTGATCCGTAGATTAGTTGTTTAGGAGTCTTAAGGGTCATCTGTAAGTTTCCTAAAATGGGAAATTTACAGTTGACCTTTCAGAAGGTCAACTGGCCATACGTCCTCTGAAGGGTCAGTAGGTCGTGGCTAGAAGAGTGCTCGAAGAGTCAACTTGACCTCTCGCAGGTTGAAAGGGCAATTTGCCGATATATAAAGAGGCTGCGGTCAGTCAGACACTCGTTATCTGGGGAACTACGTGGAAGCACTGCTCGGGTGACTTGTGCGCTGAGTTCACCGGTGGTCAGCAAGAAGCCCAAAGGTGGAAGAGGGCGAGCGGTCATAGCCGCTAGGAGGAGCAAGACGACGACAGCCATAGCCGCCTATGTGTAGAAGTTAGAAGATAGTGTGTGAGAGTGAGTGCAGACGTTGAGGGTAGATCCAAAGTGTTGTGTGCCTCCGTGCGTGGGAGTGTCTCATGGTGGATACAGTGTTCCGGTGGGAATTCCAGACCGGCGCTCAGACGCCATACCCATGCGATGTGACAAGTTCTTTTGAGCTGAGTTCCTGCCCGAAGGTCATATCTCTGAGTTTTTTGTGTGGGCGCACTGCGCTCAGATGCCATAGCCATGCGACGTGACAAGTTCTTTTAAGCTGAGTTCCTGCCCGTGTGATAACCCGTCCAAACACGGACTGATACACACAGCTGATTTCTGAGTTTTGCTCATAGACTGAATGCCCTACTGAGTTCCCCGCCTGCTGAGTCTGTGTGCGTGCATGCTTGCTGGACTGCATGTCTGTCTGAGTGCTGGTTGGCTTGCGTGTGTGACTGTGCCTGTCTGAGTGCTGGTTAGTATGTGTGTGTGTGTGTGGCCTGCCAGGGCACTTGTATGGGTGTGTGTGTGTGGCCCGCCAGGGCACTTGTTCGTTCGTTGGGCCCTCAGGGCCGGTACTTACCTGTGGCCGTGGCTTTGAAGGGTTGCAGGGGGGAAAAGCACTCAAGTAGCGGGTAGGCCGCTACCGCACCCGGCAGGGGGGGTAAATATGCAGGTACCGGAGGCCGAGCAGAAGAAGACAAAAGTGGCATTTTTAGAGGCCGGTAGTGTAGGCTAGGTCTAGCAGGTACCAGTCTGAGTCTAGGGCCTGTAGGGGCAATATCAGAGTCTGCAATGATGTTCCCTCCAAAAAGAGGAGGTACCGGTTGCTTGGGAAGGCCAGCGGCCTGAAAGTCACCGCCCAGGAGGTAAAGCAGGCCGCTATATCTTTCTTTTTCGGTGTGCACGTTTGGCGACACACTGGTGGAGTGCTGGAGGGAGCAGCGCTGGGTTGGAGCTGCGCTGCTGGGGAGGAAGAAGAAGGACTAGAGGGAGGAAGAAGGAGGAAGGAAGGAGGAAGGGGGAGGAGCGCCAGGGTTACTTACCTGGCTATGGTGGTAGCCATCTTCATCACCTTGGTGGGCGCTGCAGCAAGAAGTCCCCAGCCAGGGAGAGCCACACCAAGAAGCTTCAGGGCAGGGTTGGGCATGGCGGCCTGAGTCCGAGCAACCATAGCTGCTTTGAGTTGTCCTTTGGGCATCGGAGCAAGGCCTAGTAGTACGCCATAGCCTCGGCCTATGAGAGTGAAGTGTGGGAGAGGCGGTCATGGCTATGGTGGACCTTGAGTGATACCTGCAGTAGAAAAGGGACTCGGACATGATTCTGGACCAGTCATTCAACATTGTATTACTATTTCTTGTATGAATAAGAGGAGGGGGAGATAAGGAGGAGGAGATTGTTGGGCGAAGAAGAAGAGCCTTGACATTGTCTTTGCTGGTGTACATCTTCTTCTTCTTCTTCTTTCTTACTTCTTCTTCTTCTACTACTCCTCCCTCTCCTCTCAAGTTCATTCATTTCCTTCTGCAGTTGGATGACATTGTACTTTTCAGTGGATCTGTATCTCGCAATTGGCCAGGGTCATAACACCCGAAGGTCATATCTCTGAGTCTGTAGCTGATTCTACGTTTGTGGAAGTTCCTGTTGCCATAGCCAGCTGCATGTATGCATGTTGAACGTGAGGTGAAGACAAGTCTGATTGCACGAGAGGAGAGAGAGGGAAAGAAGAAGTAGAAGATGTACACCAGCAAAGACCAATGATAACTCCCTTCTTCTCGCCAACCACTCCTCTCCTACTTTTCTCCTCCCCTCTCTATTCACAATAATTAATAATAATAATGTTGAATGGCTAGACACGAGGTCCACCATAGACATGGCCACCCTTCTCCTTCCTCTTCCGAAGACCGTGGCTATGGCGGACTTCTAGGGCCTTGCCCTACTGTGCAAAAGACAACTCAAAGCAGCTATGGCTGCTCTGGCTCAGGCAGCCATGCCTGACTCCGCCTCGAAGCTTCTTGACGTAGCTCTACCCCAACGGGGGCCTTGCAGATGCAGCACCCTACTGCAGGTACAACATGAGGTCCACCATAGACATGGCCACCCTTCTCCTTCCTCTTCTACAACATGAGGTCCACCATAGATTTGGGTGCAGAT